TCTGCCCTGCAAGAGGAGGGTGGGATGTGACGCAGCATCACCCACCGGGTTCAACCCTCGCAGCTGCATAGGGACCGGGACCCAAAGCCACCGACCGCCCCGGGAGAGGAGGGAGCAGCGGGCACGGAGGGGGATCCAGGACTGGAGCTGGGCCAAAAATACCGTGCGTAAGGTCTGGAGCTCCAGCAGCCCGTCAGCCAACGCGGGTTAAAGCATCCCGGGGCAGGCGGGGAGGTGTCAGCAGACGGCCAGGCTGACGCCAGGCTCACGTGCCCGAAAGCGGGCAGCTGCCTGCGGGCCGGCCAAAGGCTGCGCTCCCCCAGGGAAGGCAGCGGCCAACGCGGGCAGAGGAGACTCCGCGAGGGATGATGGCCCCGACCCCGCCGCAGCGCTGGCCAAGGGGAAACACACTCACTCTCTTCCCGGCTCTCGGCTGCTCCCAGTCAGATGGAAGGACCCGCTGGCGTCTCTCTGCCGGCAAACCTTAAACAGGAGAGCACAGCGCGTGAAGAGCCCAGACCTTTCCCACAATGTACTGTCCCGTGTTCCTAGGATGGATGAATCCTTCCCCAGAACGACGCGGCTTCAGAAAACACTTTCCAGCACCTCTTTCTGCACATCTGCTGACAGCAGCTCTGCCCGCGAGTGCCGGCAGGAACCTCTCCTGCCTTCGGGTGACAGGGGGGGTTTTGGACCAGAGGAAACTGGTTAAAATCCACAGTAGCCGGAATATTCAAATTTTGTCATAGTAATAAAAAACTCGGGAAAAACCTCACCCTGTAAGGTGCAGAAGGAGGTGTAAATCCCCCTAAGGGTGCAGGCAGCGGGCTGGCAGGGCAGAGCCCCAGCACAGGCAGAGGTGGCCGCCCTCTGCCCTGGCACGGGGCTGCCGGCTCCGGGAAGCCCATCTCTGTCCGCAGGGCTGACGGCAGCGAGGGACGGAGCGGGACGAAATAAATTCCCTTCCCAGAATTACACTCTGTCAGAGGGCAAAGCGACCCACAGAGCCCAGGCTGGAGACAGCGACCCCACGGCTGGCC